AAAATTGCTACCTTACATCACTCACAAAAAAATAAACTCAAAATATATTAAAAACTTAAATGTAAGCCAAAAACTTTAAAACTCCTAGAAGTACATATGCAAAAAAACCTCCATGACTTGGGACTTAGCAATAATGGAACTTTATCAAACTACATATTTCTGCATAGCAAAAAAAAAAAAAAAACTGAACAAAATAAAAAAATGACCAACAAATTGAGAAAAGATAATACTTTCACAAACCACATATCTGATAATGCATTAAATTCTAAAATAAAAAAATTAATATGACTCAATAGAAAAACAAACAAATAATCCAACTAAAATTAAGCAAAGGTCCTGCACACAAAGTATTGAGCAGATTACAGGTACAGAATGAGGGGATCCCAGGTCAAAGCGGGGAGTATGGTCCACGGTTACTTTCTTGCCAGGTCCACAGAAATAAAATCCCTGGATGTAGGATGAGGAACCAGTGCCCAGCTACCTGTTCGTATGGGGTTGGGATAATTATCCTAATCAGCTCTGAACAGGCTGCAATAAAAAAACACTGCAATTGATGGAAGGTGTGGTATAGTAACATACATAAAGAGCTAAAGATGCGTGAAAATATACCCCTAAATCATAAATAGTGTTGTAAACCCTCATTACCTCAATACAAAATATTTTTTTAAATAAGTGCCACTACTACTTTAAGCAGATGTAATTAAAGACAAAGGGTCACAATGAAAGGAATTATAAGCCAAGCTGTATTATAGTCCAAGTCCCCTTACAGAGCCTCAACATCACCTTAGGAAAGAAGTTTTGAAATGAATCTTAAAATACTATTCTATACTAAGGGCACTGAATGGCAGGAACCAAAAAATTGCTAGAAAGTGAGGGTCAATCTCAGGGGGAAAAAAATAGGTGGGGGAGATGGAGAGAAATGTGCCTGCAGACCAAAATTCCAAGCTCACGAAGAACTAATTTCTAAATTCTAACATAATAGAAATCCATTTCTGAAAGTGACAGTCTACAAAATCAATAATTAAAACGAATTTATTAAAAAAGAAATTAATTTATGGAAAAGTCTGACAAAGTGTTGTAATAATTTTCATTTATAAATCATAAGTGAGTTAATGACTTTCTGGAAAAAAGGCCAGAGAGTAAAAACAGGAAGAAATAAATCAAGAATATGTAGATATTAAATGGAAGCTATTAGACATCCAAAAATGAAAAATACTGATTTGAAATCACAAAATAGATGGTTAAATTCTAGAATAGATGAATTTCAACATGTGTAAGCTCAGCCATTTAAGTACTGGCTGGCACAAGAGACTATAAAACATGATAAATAAAATGTATGTGGGCTGAGATATATGATTATTTGGATTAAAAGTATATTCCAAATTCCTAACAAGATAAATCATGATAGATTCATAAGGAGACATTCTAGGGCATTTGCAAGACATGGAATATAAAGAGCAAATAACATTTATATTTTCCAAACAGATTGCCTACAAAGGAAAGAATATTAAATTGTCAGCAAAGTTCTCAATAGATGCCACAAGTCAGTATACATGATTTTGGTCTACTGAAAATTTTATAACTAACTGAATTGTAATTCAAGAATGAAAGTAAATGTAAGGCATTTTTGTAGTTATCAGGACAAAATGAATTCACTATCTACAGCTTCCAGAACATAAAACAATTATTAGAGATTTCACATAGAAGAAAAGTCAAGTCAGAGGGACCCAATTTGACACACACACACACACACACACACACACAATCTATGTTCATAGAAATCATTTTAAAAATCAGCAAATTTAACTGTTATAGAATAATAACCAGTTGTGCATATTATTTTATTTTAAAGTGCACCTAATTGAATGGGCAAGAAGAGCATCAGTGATTACTGGTCAAGAAAACATCCTTACTTATGTCTGTCAGCTGTTTGGAAGGAAAACAGAAACACTAAAAATATTTAGCAGAACAATATACTTATATGTGTATGTTAAAAAAGGGATAAAACACAAAAGAAATAGAAATAAAATCTAAGTTCATAAATCAGAAGAAGAATAAAACTGAAGTTGCAATAATGAGAAGAAATTGAAAGATCAGAGAAACAAAAAAGAGATAAAAAATTACAAACTATGATGGTAAAAATAAGACTGGATACATCAATAACTCATTGAATACCTACTATTAAACCCACCTATTAAAACACAAGATGTTCAGCATGAACTTTAAACTTTAGCTCTGTGCAACTTAACAGATAATTCAAATGAACCACTCTGTCTCCCAGTGTAAGGGTGATGGAGGAGAAATCAGAGGTAACAGGGAATTAATTTATAATGTAAATATGAACACAAACCAGGTAAATGACACTAGGTAAATGATGCCATTTGTGAGTTTCTGAGATCCAGCTTCATAGGATCTCTTCAATTTACTTCTAGCCAACTCTCCACTCTGCCATATATACCAGGCATAGCTTTTATTTGTGTACCTAATCATACTACTTCACATGCAGTAGGAAACTGCCTTGCAAAGACTTCAAGCCTTAATATATACCAAAGACCCTTCAGCAAAGCCTATGCTAACAGCCTTCTTTTAACTCAGCACCAATCTCATGGCTGTAGGTGCTCTAACCACCTGTGGAGACGCAGACACACAGGGGACCACTGCACAATGGGATGACGCCTTGATGCCCAATTCTTGTTCAGGCCTGCCTCACCCAATATTGGCCCCCTTTAGTCTTGAAACATAATCTTCAGGACTGCCCCCACTGTTTAAAATTGAAAAACAATTTACTCCTATTGGTCTTATCCAGAATGAGGGTGATTTTAAAAAGTAGGGACCCTGATGAGCTACACCAGGGACACCATGCTTATAATTAAAGCAAAATTGTTCCCAGTGACTTCGCAGCAGCACCAGCATGGAAAGCACTGTGATTCTTGGTATGAGGCAAGTTTGATTTAAGTGAAAAGGAAAACTGACAATCTAGGCACCCCCACAGGTAACTCGACAGGTAATTATTGGCCTTACAAAAAATTACCTATAGTAAAATTTTTTCATCAAGATTTTCTTCAAACCTTCCTTCGCTTATGGGTTCAAGCTCCCTGTGTTTCAACCCTAATTCTGAGAAGAAGAATAGAAAGATTGTATCTTTGAAAACTCTGAAGAGCATTCTCCCAGGATCTTTGGAATTATAACCAATATGGGTGATCCCTCCCTGCCACCACCTGCCCCCCCAACACACACTCCTACACAATTTAATCATGTGGATATATTCTGATAAGCACGTGGATATATTCTGAGAAATATATAATTTCTCAGAAATTTTGTCATTTGTATGAAGGTAACAAAGATATAGTCAAATGGTATGTGACTTGACTCTGTTTTTCTTCTCAAGCCATTGAAAATCAACTCTGGTATGAGAATCCGAACTCTAGATTTTATAAAATTACAATAGGAATTAAGACCATAAGATGAATATAAAAGTGAATAACGATCTTCTAAATTTGATTATAGGTGTAATCAACAATGAGACATTAAGAACTGTTAAAATCATAACACATTAAGTATAAAACCCATTGTTTTAACAAAAACCATATTTGCCTTTTAGTGTTATTTTGAGAAAAAATGGTGAAAAATGTGTATGTGCATATATAATATATAAAGGCATATTCAGATCAAAATATGTTGAAAAGTAAAATTGCAACTTTAAGAATTCTAATAAGAATCACAGATGTTTTACTAATAAATAAGCACCAGAGATTCATTTAATTGAATATGGAAAAGTTTAATAAAAACCATTCAATAATTAATTAAGAATCCAGTAGGCATAAGTGAACTTCCAGAATAACCTTGTTAATTTACTGTGATCATAGAAAGTAAGGGTAGAAATCTGTAACCATGTTTTTCAAGGATATTTCTTAATGAGCTACAAATAGACAATTTCCTTATAAGAGAACAGAAATTTTTGTATATATCTAAAATATATATACTATGGATTCACATATACTTTATACATATATGCACACACACAAGACTCAGTGCAGTCACACTCTCTCAATAAATAAGTTATCTTGAGAGTGAAACAGGCATCAGAATTACTTTAAATATGTTATTGCTCATAATATAAGCATTAATACAACCTAATTATATCAGTGTTAGATTTTTTTTTAATTTCATTTAATTTTCAGACAATATAGGATTTCCCCCCTCTGGTATAGATTTTAAAAAGATGTTAAATGACATGGTGTCTAACACCCTTTTAAAGGTCTAGAAATCAACTCAAGCAAAATTGGGGGTTACTTGTCCAAAATGGAATAATAATTGACCAGCAAATAAAACTCAAATATCTTGGCCCATAATACAGAATCCATTTCATAAATTCATGTTGCCTTTGATGTGACCAGCTACCCCAGGAATTTGACATACTATGTATTACAGAGATTTATCAAATACAAATACAATCACAGTATTCTGAAAGTTCTTCCTCCCAAATAAGGCAGAAAACTCATAGACAGATTGAAGAATTTAGATTCTATACCCTCTACTGTGATTAAAGGGAACAGGAGAAACAAAATTTTTTAGCTCCTGACTGTGGGTTCTCTTGGTTTTGGGTATAGTATGGTAACTCACATCTGAAAATGTATGACCCTATACCTCTGAATCATATCGTGTAAATCAGTGTTACCCCAATTAAAAAATTATAAAATAAACAGTTAAAAATCAAAAGATCGACTGTCTTCTAGAAATAGAAGCCAAACACAGAGAATTCATATTGTGTGGGGGAGAAACCAGCTCTTTTCATCAGTGTATGATCTTTAACATTTTAAATTATAAAATTTTCATAATAATTCTGACATACTGGGCCAGAAAATACAAAATGACTTCAACTTCCAATTTTCTTCCCTAAAATAATTGTTGTTCCATTACCTGTCAATGGCAGTTAGTGCACACATACATACATATATGTATACACACACACACACACTCTTACATTACAAGGTACTTACTGAGCTGTAGAGATAGCCTTCGCCATTCATGGCCACATAGAGGCTGGCCTTCACCCCTTGGATGGCCACCACACGCAGACCCACGGGAATTAAATTGAAGAGGGCTATCAGAGAAGAAAAGAAGATAGAGGCGAAAGGGTCAGTGATCTTTTATATTAATCATTTTACTTTTTAAGGGAGGGGGAGAAGGGTGGCAAGGAGAGAGAAAATATCTTTTCTCTGCACCACAACTAGTCACCTGTGTGACTTCAGGTAAGTCACATAAATTACTTTTTTAAAAGGGGTTAGTTTACAAGGTCTCCAAAGGCTCCACCTGGATCTGAGTGTTCAGGATCTCTGCTCCACAAAATGAATGCATCCTCAAACAGGGCAATATAACAAACAGCTTGAATTACAAAAATCTCAACAGTAGAAAACTTATTTGTAGTCATAAGTAATGATAAAATGTGATCTTTAAGACATAGGCCAAGACTTCTTGTTTTCATCTCTGTAGTCCTGAATGTTCTCTTGAACATAGGAGATGAACACACAAATTACTGACTCACTGTAAACTACATCAGCAGAACATTTCTCTTTATACTTCAATTTTTTATAAGTAAATAGAAATGTAATACAGATAATAGATTGATGATTGATAGAGGGCTTAAACTGTACTGGACATATTTTATATCTTGGGATATATATATGTATATCTATGTACAAACCATTAAAATCATTAAATATGTACTTTGTAAATTTAACTCAGTATCTTAAGATAAAATGGGAATATGCTTACAGACTTTTAATATATAGGTTAGCTATCACTAAAAATATTCAACAGTCTACATATCATTTGAAGATGTTATACATCAGAAAGAAGATAAGCAAGAAGGCAATTTTTCTTCCAAAAATGCATTTCTATGAATTGTATATCCCTAGCACTATTCTAGTTACTACTGGGATTTGAAAAAAGCAAAAGCATAAAAACATTGCCTCTATTCTAAAAGGATGTGTCTTACTGAAGGGAGAAAAGAAATCAACATAGTTAGGCTCTGTAGATGGTAACATGGATATAAACAAATACTTCCTAACTGCAAGCATCAGAGATTATCTCTATGGTTCACTTTAACATATATACTCTTATCCATATTTTCCACTAAGAATTTCCCATCAGTTCGGTTCATCTTCTCTGTTTTAAATATGAAATATTTTAATATAAAGATATACAAATTAACCCAAGGATTACCATGAATCAGGGATGCTTCCATTTTTCTGGGCTTCTCTTAACCTGGGATAATAAGACACAGACACAGACACACACACACACACAATCAAATGTTCACATGACAGTTGTAGAGGACAAGTCTTAGGCCACAAGATTCAATTCCTAAATGTTTGACATTGTGCAGTGTCTTTACCCCTTTTAACATGTTTTTTTCCTTTGTTGTGAAAGTTAAGACTACATCTTAGTAGATACTTAAGAATGGATAACGGACTCAATTTGAATCTTAACTAGTTTTTGTTCTTCTTATGTTCTTACCATTGTCTTTGTGCTACTGAAATAACTTTGGAAGTACAAGACCTTAACGTCTCGTTAGGAAGAAAAAGCTAAGACATATGGAATATTCTGATACAGCGTATAATTTATTTCTATAATTAAATGTAATATATGCATTCTCTCTATATATTTTCTATGTTGCAGAAGTTTAGGAACATGAAAGATCTGTATGGCCCAAAGTTTTCAGGAAATGTCTCACACAGAAGATGGGACCTGAACTAACACTTAAAGGGCACAAGTCGAGTAAGCCAAGAACCTACAGACATTTTAGTGGGGCAGGAAGTTAAGTGGTTGTGTAATGTGTGTATACAGGAAGTGATCAGAAAATTGGACAATTTGATTCATATTGGGGAAAAATGGGTAGATAAAGTAGGGACAAAATTACTGAGTCACTCTCTCTAACTTAGAGATCTAGATTTTACCAAATGGGGAATGAGATGACATACAAAGACTGAAGTCAGCAAGACTATAGAAATATGTGAGAGATTTGCAGATAACATCATTTCTAAACTCACCACTCAGTAGATCCATGTCTTAGAGCCATTCATTTAACCTCTCTGCTTTAATCTTCCTTTGTGTAAAATTGGCATAATAAAACAGTGCATAGTTGATAAAAAATCAAATTCATCATATGTTTGAGAGAGTTCCATAAACACAGAAGTGTTCTCTCTGCATGAGCTATTTGTCATTAATATTTGTCTCTTTCCTTGTCAAATAAGATTACCATAGGGTCTGATGTAATAACTGACATATGACTCCAGTAGTATTATTGAGTTTATATTCAGAAATTTGGTTAATACTTTTTTTTTTTTAATAGAGGCATGTTTTTATTTATGTGTTTGTTTGTTTGTTTTTGTTTATACACGCACTGGGTACAGTCAGAAGCGCGGGAGGGTGAGAGAATTCACCAGAGCCAGAGCGGGGAGCAGAGCAGGCAGAAGGACTGAAGTACACTGCTGAGGGGAGCAGCGGGCGGCAGGAGAGGTCTGCGCACCATGTGGGACCCTCCTCCGGTGGCCGGGGAGCAGCCGGGGATCGAACCGGCGCTGCAGAGGCCGCGGGCAGCTTCGCAACCCAGCGCTCAACCGCTGCGCCACCGGGGAGGCCCAATACTTTAAAATAATATTCTATATTTGTGCAATAATTATTTTTCCCAGTTTTGATATACTCATCTTTGCATTTGACCCTCAATCACACACTAAGAAGAATTTAGGACAGAAGGAATACCTTAATTTTTAGAAGCATGTTCAGACAGGCAATCAGGTGAAACTCCATCTCAACAAAGGTTTTGTGACTCTCTAATATGGTTATCTGCCTAAAATATCATATTTCCACTTTCTCATTTAACTTTCCCTAATATATATTCTCACCTTCATCCAAAGCAATAATCAATTTAGTTACATTTCCCTACATACCCTGAAGTTAGCTGTGGCTGGGCAGTAAGCACTGGGCAATGAGATGCAGGCCAATTTTTGCACACTTAAAGACTCCTTTCTGAGAGACAGCTTATAGGATACTACTGCCATTTCTCAGCCATGTGCCTTATTGTTTGGGTGGGTATGGGGGTGTGGTGACTGAATCATTTCAGACTGTGAAAACAAGGACTATTCCTGAGGGAATGTTGGAAAGTGATCTCGAACAAGATGGTCCCTGAGGACTTTGTAAAGCAGTGGCACCCGTCCAACATTCAGTTCCCAGGTCTGGCTTTCATGTGAGAAAATAAGTTCTTGTTATTTTAGTCTGTGCAAAGCAGAACCTACCTTATTCCTAACTAATAGAGAGGGCTAATGAAATCAGAGATAACTTGGAAAGAAAAACTGTAAGTAAAATACTTATACATTGTAAATAAATGCAAGTACTAGAAAATACCAACTCCAGTGGCAATTCTTACTAGAAAGGAAAATAAAATCCAAAATGTTGCATAGCGTATTTCAAAAGCAAAGTTTTCCCAAGACAAATGCAGTTAAATTGGTTCATTTAACAAATACAGAATTAAAAAAAACAAAAAAACAAAAAAACATAAACATCTCTGGCCTCCCCTGGTGGCGCAGCGGTTGAGCGCTGGGTTGCGAGGCTGCCCGCAGCCTCTGTAGTGCCAGTTTGATCCCCGGCCACCTGCGAGGGTCTCACAAAAAAAAAAAAAAAAAAAAAAAAAAAAAAAAAAAACATAGGCAAGAACAAAAAATAAGAAACTTATATGAAAGTTTTATATGAACCAGGGCCTCCCTGATGGCGCAGGCAGTTGAGCGCCATACTGTGAAGCTGTTCGCAGCCTCTGCAGTGCAGGTTCAATCCCGGCCGGCTGGGGAGAAACCCACATGACGCAGCAGACCTCTCCTGTCTCGCCCACTGCTCCCCTCAGCAGTGTATTTCAGTCAGTCTGCCTGTTCTGTTTCCCGCTGTGTCTCTGGTGAATCCTCTCACCCTCTTGCACATCTGGCCTGCACCCTGGTTCTTGTATAAATAAATAAATCTTTAAAAAAAAAGTTTTATATGAACCACAAAAAGATAATGGTTTTTAAGTAGTAAGCTTTTGGAGAGTAAGCAAGTCTGTTGAAAAGAAAAAAAAAATGTCAATAAACAATTACGAATGAGACTTTTTACTAATAAAAGCTAAAAACTATACTCTTTGCAAAAGTCTTTATCTGCATCCGAAAATCTCAAAAAGTAACTACTCATACTTATCTATTATTTATATTCAATGGAGAACATTGGCTCTAGCTCACAGAGATCCTTGGCTATGAGGTGAGAATTCTTCCTTCATCTTTCTTGTCCAGTGTCAAAGCCACTGTCTTAACTCAGGAAAACTGGGTCATATCTTTCTTCAAAGATATGACCTATGTTCTTGCCTATCTTTCTTCTTCATTATCTACTAGATGGTTCCAAAGTCTTACCTTGGCCTATGGACCCTTTCTTCAACTTGGATCTAATATACATTTCACTTTATCACTTGTCACACATCCACCATCACCAGTTTCATAGAACTTTTAGCAATTTCTTAATTCTTGATCTTCAATGAAGTTGGATTTTTTTTTTTTCATTTATCCTCTCTTTTTGGAAGGCCTATCTTCCCACCTCTAAATTTAATCAACTCTTTTTATCCTTTAAGATCTATCTTATTGATGGCTCTTTTTAAATAATCCTTCAGAGATAGTGGTTTCCTTTCCATAATCATTACTTCATGGACATATTTCTGTAATGACATTTGGAACATGGAATAATAGTTATTTGTTTATACTCCTGTCTCCATCCTCAAAATGCAATAATTACAATACACACAATATAAGAATTATAAAGAAAACATTTTAGCTAGAAATCCATGTTTTCTCATGGGATAAAGTGTTTTTAAGACAAAATTTAATTTAAAACTCAAAACCTGTCAGCATAAGATTCTTGGTTATATACAATCACAGGATCTATTTCTGCTTTATGGCACTATTGACATTAATATATTTATTATTTTTAGTTATTTGACCTTCCTCCTTCTACCTTTTAGCCCATGTTTTTGCTTACTTCTTTCCCTTTGTTTGGAATGTTGTTTTCCTCATATCTTCATATTAAACTCTC